AGTTCCCGGCGAGCGTCCGTCACACCCCGGGGAACAGAAACCAATGACACGAGCATAGATTTTCGGAGGTCCGTGCGGAGTTCTCGGATCGGCGCTGGACTCCCCTCCTCGGCGCGCGGAGCGGGCCAGGGGCGGCGCCAGAGGCGTCGCCAGGCAGCCCCAGCGCCGATCCGAGAAATGTGCCCCCGGACCTCCGACGGTTCATGTCTCTGTCGTTCTCTGTTCCCCGGACATCAACCAGGACGAGTTGGGCGCCAAGGAGACCGACGCCGCATGGTCAAGCGCAGCCATGTGCGCGGCGCGGGACGGAAAGATCGTGGCGGTCCTCGACAAGTGCAACATGACGCGGGCGGACAGGAACGCCGCGTACGCAGGCCTGGACGCGGCCTCCAGGTCCCAGATTACACTGGTGCATTTCTCAAGGGATGTCGAGGGCTGTGCTGAGCGGGCTGCGGGGCGCACCGACCACATTGGCGAGGTGACGGGGGAACGCGCTCGTCGAGTCGTGCGTGCTATGGGAAGCGCATGCGAGGTGCCCACATCTGCCAAGTCCGAGGGCATCGGCACGCTGCACGTGGTGCAGGACGACGATGCGGCCTCGGCGCTGCTGTGCAGCTGGGGGTGTGCGCAGGCTCAGCAGGAGGAGTGCGTTGTCGGCGTCGTCGGCTTTCCGCGGACTCGGCATCTCAAGAACCTCGGCGCGGCCACGGACGACGACGTCCAGGTTGAGGACGCAGTCCCTTTCCTGATGAAGAATCACGAGGACGACTGCATCATCGTCGAGGAGAAGGTCGACGGCGCGAATCTGGGACTGCGGCTTGATGAGGATGGGCTTGGCATCGTTGCTCAGAACCGTTCCCACATCGTGCACTCGAAGTATCACGAGCAGTTCCGGAAGCTGGACAAGTGGATCACTGACCACGCCGAGGTGCTGCGGCGCGTGCTCCGTGACCGCAACCTCATCCTATATGGCGAGTGGGTCTACGCGCTGCACTCCACGAGCTACGACCGCCTCCCTGGGTACTTTGTCGCCTTCGACCTGCGCTGTGTGTTGACGGATGCCTTCGTGGCGCGCCCGGAGCTGGAGCTGATGCTCCGGGGCACTGGCATTCCGCAGACGCCGTTGCTGCTCTCGCAGCCGGCAGCGGAGGGCCGACAGAAAGCCAACGCCATGTTGGCGGAGATCTTAAAGTTGGTGGAGCGGAAGTCCACGTTCGCAGTGGACACGCCGGCCGAGGGCGTCTACGTCCGTCTGCAGCGAGGCCTCTGGACCGTGGACCGGGCCAAGATCGTCCGTCCCCACTTCATCGCTGGCAACGAGCACTGGACCCGGGGCGGCGTGAGGACTTCTGGGGTCAATCGCGCAACAGGGGTCAGCGCCAACGGGGGTCCACCTATCCCCGCCGAGGAGGAGGAGGAGGAGGAGGAGGAGGAGGAGGAGGAGGAGGAGGAGGAGGAGGAGGAGGGTGAGGAGGAGGAGGCGAGGAGGAGGAGTCCCCTGGCTGGTGGCTGGCCCGATTTTGGGAGCCACCTGGAACCGACCCCGCTCCCCCGCCCTCCACTGACCAGCTGCTTCGCGGCTGGCCAGGCTTCGCGACGGGGCCCTGGCCGGCCAGGTTTTATCCCTAAGGGCTTGACGACTTTTCGCCAATCGACTTGTGGGGATCGAGCCAGATCAATCCAGATAAATGCAGATAAATCCAGGTAAATGCAGATCAATCCAAATAAATCTAGGTACATCAGGATACATCCAGGTAAATCCAAAGACCTCCAGGGACAGTTGGGCAACATTGCGGCCGCTTTAGCGCGAGTCGAAGGACGGCAGAAGTCGTTAAGCATTTAACGATTTTATATTGATCAGGGTTGGTGCGTCCCTGGAGGATGAATGAGCTCTCCGCTGGAGCATTGCAGGCCGCCCAGTTGACCGCAGAGCGGGCTGCGCACGGAGCGGTTGATGACGACGAGGCTGCGGGCAAGATTGACATACGTAATTATCCATATCCATTGCGTCTCGGATGTGTGGCCTCCCTTCTTTACAAGCCTGGCGCGCAGTGGATGTATGCTTAATGTGGCTTCTAACGAGGCCAGATGTTCATCCACATCCACTGCAAAAAAAGTTCACCCATATCCACTGCGCCTCGGGTGCTCGGCATCCGCTCCCCGAAAGTCCAAGACGCCGTGGATATAGATAGAACACTTGCTCGCAGAGGCCACGCAAAGCAAGAACACAACGTTCGCAATTCCGTATGACGTCGCAGTCGCCGACACCGCGACGGTACAGGATGAGCAAGACGGGAAGCCGCAAGGGGAGAGGGACAGGAAAGATGAGGACCATGAACATAACCCCGTGGAGCTGCATCGCACCATCTCCAGGCACGAGGATATCTTGACGTGGCTCTCCGAACAGCTGACAGGGGCTATGGCGGCGTCAGATGTCGAGGGGCTCGTGGTGGGGGTTGAGATGATCCTCGCCGATGAGGGCACGCCTTTGGATCAGGCCGTCGAGCTGGCCTCGGAAATGCTAGAAAGCCAGGGTGTCGGCGCAGAAGTCCTGCGAGGGTTCGCCGAGCAAGCCGCAGGGATCGTGCACTAGGGCTTTGTTGTTGCATTGTGCCCATGTTTTCGACTTCAAGCATGGCCAGGAATCGTGCCGTACCGCTGGCTTACACACGCCTGTACTTCGACGTGCCGTACGTGACGTGCCGCGGACGCGCTGTACAGCAGATTGTGGCCGTAGTCTGCATGGAAAAAGTGCAATAATCCACACGGCGGGCATGGAGAGCGTGTGAGGGGGGGCAAGCGCGAGAGCGAGGCGGAGACTGTGGGCAGGGCGAGCTGTGAACTTCATGGGTGTGTGGGAGGGCGGGCGAGGGACGAGAGCATTTTTGGGGGAGGGGCCATCCTCCCACTCCCCCTCCTTCTCCTCCTTCTTCTCCTCCTCCTCCTCCTCCTCCTCCTCCTCCTCCTCCTCCTCCTCCTCCTCCTCCCCTCCTCCTCCTCCTCCTCCTCCTCCTCCTCCCCTCCTCCTCCTCCTCCTCCTCCTCCTCCTCCTCCAGGATGCTCCGCCCCACCCGACCGTCCGTCGATGCAACAGCCGCATGCCGAGCACGAGGGGCCGTCGCCCTGACAGCACGCGCCGCGCCCCCCCCCCCCCCCTCTCGGCAGATGCGTCAAAGGGCGCGTGTGCCCGCGAGCGGGCCGTCGAGTGGGTAGCGCGCTCGTGGGTGCCAGCGAGGTGTGCCTGTTTTCCTCGGCGAGGACCATCGTCGGGGGCGGCAAAGAGGGAAGTGATGACTAGGGGGGGTTGGATATCATGGCGTGGGCCATGGACTCCCTGCTCCCTCCTTCTTGCTCCCTGCTCCCGTCCGCGTGCGTGGCAACTTTGGAGCAGGCCCGCACCTGCTTCCACACTGCCGCATCCATGTGCCCTCGTGTGGCGTTGCGTGTTCCTCGCGCTCGCTCTGCCCTCTCGGACCGCACGCTGGCGCGGCAGAGCGGCACGCAGCCAGTAGCCCCGCGTCGGGCCCACACCTGGCTCCGGCCAGGAAGCTGGGCTGCGATAGAGCATCCGCGAGCCTAAGCAGAAGCGTGCAGAGGCAGCAACGCGTGCCGTGACGCGGCTGGGCTGCTCCGAGCTCCGCCCCTCCCGCCGAGGGTGAAGTCGGGCTCCTTTTACGGGAGGAGTATGCAACAATGGTCTAATAGAAAAAAAAATCATGGCGTGGGCCATGATATTTCCCCAGATCTCATGGCGCCTCTTCTTATTTCAGTACGTCCCTGGCCCCCCCGCTGGGCCGCGCACGTGCCACCGGTCATGATTTGCACCCCTCCCTCTTGGACACCCCCCTCTTGGCCGCTCCCGACATCGAGGAGCATCCTTGAGCATGTGGCGAAAACGCCACGCACGACCGCCCCCCCCAACAAAAAAAACACAGGGAATGGACGTCCGAGCGATGGCCACTCGGTGGCGTGCGGCTTCTCATCAGCGTTCGCGCAGGCCCCACCGGCCGTTCGAGGCCCTTCTGCTGGCACGCAAGAGCTGCCCAACCTTGCGTCGGGCAGGTCCCTCGACAGGAGGAGTATTCAAGCGTAGTTGAACACCTAGTCTGGGGACGATTGTGTTGTTGTTTTCTCTCTCTCTCTCTGTCTCTCTCGTTCAGTACTCTATGGAATTCTTTCTATACTCCCTTCCACTGTGTACACTACTCTCAATAAGGGGTCTATACCGCACTCTCAGCTAGCAGAACTCTGCAGAGCTATTTTTAGGGTATTCTGCCTCCACGGGTGTACGGAGCTGGCGACTGCTTGGCGAGGCTGGGACCGTCGCGGTGCGACAGCACGTGCAGCCCCAGGAGCGGGACACCTGGAGCAAGTGAATCATGCGAGGTTTGGCGTCCACACGCACTAGAAGGGTAACGAGGAGGAGGAGGAGGAGCAGGAGGAGAAGGAGAAGCAGGATGACAAGGAAGAAGACGATGTGGACAAGGATAGGGGGAAATTTATGATGGATGGTAACTCGAGGCTTGGGACTACGTGCAGCCCCAGACGTGATCCCAGCCGGCTAACTGGCCCACCGGGCCCCGAGGGCAGTCCGGCGCAGCCAGGGAGCGCCCAAAAGGAGTTGCCGAAAGAGGCGACGTCTCGGCGCCGATGCCGCCTCGGGCAGCCTCGGCTGCCTGGAACTGCGCTCCTCCGCGGGGATCCGAGCGCAGCCCCAGGACTTGCCTGATCGACTCCTCCTCCCCCTCCTCCACTCCTTCCTCCCCTCCCCTCCTCCCCTCCTTCCGTCCCTCCTCCCCTCCTTCCGTCCCTCCTCCCCTCCTTCCCCCCCTCCTTCCCCTCCTCCTTTCCCTCCTCCTTTCCCCCTCCTTTCCCTCCTCCTTTCCCTCCTCCTTCCCCTCCTCCCCTCCTCCTTTCTCTCCTCCTCCTCCTCCTCCTCCTCCTCCTCCTCCTCCTCCTCCTCCCCCTCCTCCTCTCGCACATGATCCGCCGCCGGCCTCGGCTCGAGCTCCGCGGCTGTGCTCGAGCTGCGCCCGGCCATCCAGACCACATCACTGCCCGTAGGTTGCAAACTGCCCGCTTAGCCATCCAGATCGGGCCGGCACGGGTGGCAGACTGAGCGGCAACACAAAACGGGGTCGGCTGCGCCGAACTTCGCACGTGAGTTTCTTGCGCAAGGCCGCGCGCCGGCGCCTTCTGCTCCGCGCGGTGTGCCGCGCTTGCGGCCCACGTAAGCCGCGGCCCCTGTCTTATCGCGCAAGGCCCGTTTGTTTTCGTCGCATTATTTTTATGATTGTAAATCATCGTCACCATCACACATACATGCATACATGTATTCATAAATCCATCCATCCATCCATCCATCCATCCATACATACATACATACATACATGCATGCACACATACATACGTACGTACGTACGTACGTACGTACGACATACGTACGTACGTACGACATACATACGTACGTGCATACCTACGTACATACACGTGCATACAGACAGAATGCAGACAGACAGACAGACAGACATGCATACATATATACATGCATACACCCATATACACATATACACTTTATAAGTGTGGATGTATGCCCCACAGCAAATTTCGCTCGCTGAAGGGCAAATTTTCAGGACAACCCATAAACCAACTGGATAAGACCTACGCCCTGCAAAAAGGCGCGCAAATGCGATTGCGATGCAGGGGGGAGCTCGGTTTAGATGTAGACTTGGCTCATTAAATGGTCAGGTGGGAGATGGATGTGCGCACACACAGACACAAATGAGACTTTCGCCATGCGAAATGCCCCGCGGCGAGCGCGAGGCAGGTGGATCGCGGTTGATGTATTGAACTTGCTTGCAGGGGCGGTGTGGGGGGAACACACGAGCAGAGTAGACTTGCGCCCTGTGAAACGCAAGCTGCGGCGTGCTCCAGGCGAAAGCAGCATGGCGGAAAGAGAGATGTATGGCTCGTTGAAGGGCCAGGTTGGCAGATCGAATCAATGGATAACGCTTGCGTTGCGACGAGAGTGAGGCAGACGGAAACAGTGGCGAGCACACACACATACATATACATATACCTTTACATATATATATATATGTGTGTATATATAAGTATATATATACACATATATATATACCGCCTAGGGACATGCCGTGTCCGGGGAAATGAACGAGCAGATAACACAGGCGCCCTGCTACGCAACGCGCCGCTGCGAGCGCGACCGGGCGGCCCATAACTGGCGGGTCGGTCGGGCGGACCTTGCTGGGCGGGTCTGGCGGGTGGGCCCCTCGGGACGGGCGGGGCGGGACGCGGGCGGGCGGGCGGCAAGGCAGGCAGGCGTGTTGCACGCGCCGCGTCGAGGGCGACGCAGGCTCATCCTCATCATCATCAGCAGCAGCATCATTATCGGCATCAGCGTCAGCATCATCAGACTCGACATCAACATCATCACCATCATCATCATCAGCATCACCATCATAAGATTAATCTTAATCTGCATGACCATCGTCACCATCATGCATACATGCATACATGTATTCATACATCCATCAATCCATCCATCCATCCAGACAGACATACATATATACAGACAGACATATATGCATACACATATACGTATATACAAATATGCATACATCCATATACACATATACACGTTATAAGTGTGTATGTATGCCCCACAGCAAATTTTGTTCGCTGAAGGGCAAAGTTTCAGGACAACCCATAAACCAACTGGATAAGACCTACGCCCTGCAAAAGGCGCGCAAATGCGATTGCGATGCAGGGGGGAGCTTGGTTTAGATGTAGACTTGGCCCCTGAAATGGTCAGGTGGGAGATGGACGTGCGCACATACACAGACACACATAAGACTGGCGCCATGCGAAACGCCCCGCGGCGAGCGCGAGGCAGGTGGATCGCGGTTGATGTATAGAACTTGCTTGCAGGGGCGGTGTGGGGGGGGAGCGCACGAGCAGAGTAGACTTGCGCCCTGTGAAACGCAAGCTGCGGCGTGCTCCAGGCGAAAGCAGCCTGGCTAGTGCTTGTTTAGATATGGAAAGAGAGATGTATGGCTCGTTGAAGGGCCAGGTTGGCAGATCGAATCAATGGATAACGCTTGCGTTGCGGCGAGAGTGAGGCAGGCGGAAACAGTCGCGAGCACATGTATAAACAAATAAATACAAAATACATATATATATATATGTATATATATATATATATATATATATATATATATCCCGCCTATGGGCATGCCGTGCTCGGGGAAATGAGCGAGCAGACAAACACAGGCGCCCTGCTGCGCAGCGCGCCGCTGCGAGCGCGACCGGGCGGGGCCGTAACTGGCGGGTCGGTCGGGCGGACCTTGCTGGGCGGGTCTGGCGGGCGGGCCCCTCAGGACGGGCGGGGCGGGGCGCGGGCGGGGGGGCGGCAAGGTCTTCGAGCAGGCGGGCGGCGGCGGACCGGCGGGTCTCGAGCACTGGTGTCGACAGAGGGCGAGAGGCGCGGATCAGGCAGCAGGGAGCAGGGGGGGGGCACGGGGCAGGAAGCAGGGAGGAGGAGGAGGAGGAGGAGGAGAAGGAAAAGGAGGAGGGCGAGAGAGGAAGAGGTGGGAGGAGGTGGGAGGAGGTGGGAGGTGGGAGGAGGAGGAACAGAGGCCGGGTGACTGTGGCGGACCTCACTGTTTTGATTTGTTTTTGCAGTGTTATCGTGATTGGTTGGTTCTCTGTTTAGTGATCCTCTTTTCTTTTTCTCCATGTCTCTCTTTGCGTCTCTCTCTCTCTCTCTCTCACTCTTCGCCAGCCTCTTAGCCTCTTCACAAAACAATGACCCCCTGAGCATGGTCATGGTCCTCGGAACTCCAACCCTGTGCCAAACGGCATGGGGCTGGAATTTCGCCAGAGGGTTTTGTTACGAGCATTCGGCCTTGCCTTCACCATTCTGATTATTATTATATGTTCTCTCTCGTTTTCTCCCTTTGCCTCGTTGTCGCAAACACATTATATGCATCTCCCTCCTTAAGCGTCACAGGCGAATCCTTTTGGAAAGCGAAGCAAAGATATTCGATGCCCTCGCAACAGGAACCCGTCAGGAATCATTATCAAGGATTAGATTGGGAAGCCTCATATCTGGAGCCATTTGGAAAGCACCGATGAGGACTTCGATTGGGAAGTATCACAAAGAGAAATCTTTTGAGAAACGCCACAGAGAGATTCGATTGAGTGCCTCACATCAGGAATCATTTGGAAAGCGCCATGGCCTGACAACAGGGATCCACGAGAAAGCGCTGCAACCACATTATGCTAGACACAGTCATACTTGCAATAGTTTGGAAAGCGCTTCAGAGGAATTCCCTGGGGAAACTTTACAACTTGGAATCCTGTGGAACAAGGAATCTACAAGACCGCATCGGAAGGCTTCATAACCGAGATCCTTTCGAACAGCACAAGGTTGTGTTGGAGCGCCCGCAGCAGGATTCCTTCGGAAATCACCCCACATGGTTTCAATGTGCTCGAAATAGGAATCCGCTCGGATCCAGTGCAATCGAGGATTCGATTGGAAAGCGTCGTAAACGAAAGCATTGTTGAGGGTTTCAAGTGGGACGCATCACAGGATGAAGCTTTTGAACAACACAAAGTATTCGATTGGACAGCCTCGGGCTTGGAACATTGCGAAATCCTACACAGGAGTTCCATTGTATGGCCTCGCAACAAGGATCATTTGGAAAGCGCTGTCTAGCAACACGCTTTTTGTTAGAAACAATTATAGTGGGGATCATTTTGGAAAACGCCCCAGAAGGACCCTGTTGGAACAAGCAGCTGGAACCCTTTGGCAAGCGATCAAACAAGTTTCACCGGACGGCCTCGCAATAGAGATCCTTTGAGTAGCGCAGCAACATGGATTCTACCGGAGCGCCTGGCAAAAGTTTTGTTTGGAAAACGCCAAACAAGGATTGTATAGGGGAGCCGCACAAGAGAAATCCTGTGGAAACCAGCACGAAGGGCTCCTACTAGAAAACATCCCCAGAGGAACCCTCTGGAAAACGATACGACGGGCTCCTTTTGGGAAAGTACCACACAGGGTTCCCTTTGCAAACCACCACATTGGGATTTGATTGAATTGGAAGGCGCCACTAAGGGGCTCATATCGGGAAGCCGCACAAGAAGGAACCAATCGGAAAGCACCACAGAGGGCTTCCATGGGAAAGCCTCAAACCAGAAACCCTTTTTGAAAGCACAACTGAGGGCTCTGATGGGAAAGTCGCACAACAGAAAAAAACCTTGGAAAATGCCACGGAGGGATTCAATTTGGAAGCCTCACGACATGAATCCTTTGGATAGCGCCTCAGCGGGATTCGATTGGAAAGCCTCGCGACAGGACTCCTTTGGAAAAGCACCACGCAGAGATTCCATTGAAAAGCCTCGCGACGAGGATCCTTTTGGAAAGCGCCACAAAGGGATTCAACGGGAAATCCTCACAAAGGAAATCTTTTCGAACGCGCCGCGAAGGGCTTCTATTCTCAAGCATCACCACAGGAATCTTCTGGAAGGCACCACAAGGAGATTCGATTCAGGAGCAGCACAAGAGGAATCCTTGGAAAGCACCACAAAGAGATTCTATTGGAACGCCTTACAATCGGAATCCATTGGAAAGCGCCACGCAGAGATTCTGCCGGAAAGCCTGACAACAGGAATCTGTTGGAAAACACCACAACGGCATTCGATTGGAAACCGTCACAGTGGGATTGTTGTGGGAAGCATCGTAGAGGGATTCCATGGAAAAGCCTCACACCAGACAACCTTGTTTGAAAGCACCATTCAGAAGGATTCGATGGGAAAACCTCACAATGGGAATCCACTGGGAAGCACCACGCAAAGATTATTTTGAAACAAACCTCGCCACTGGGGGCCCTTTGGAAAGCACCGCAACGGGATTCTTCTGGACGGCCTCACTGTGGGATTTCCTTTTTGGGAAAATGCTTAGGTTCTACTCCGAACATCACAACAGGAATCCCTTGGAAGGCACCACAAGGAGATCCCACAGGGAAGCATCACATCAGGAATCCGTTGGAAAACACCGCAGAAATTCTTCTGGGAAGCCTCACGAACCCATTGGGAAGCACCACGAACACATTCGATTGGAAAACATCACAACAGGAATCAGTTGGAAAGAACCAACGCACCACAACGGCATTTTATCGGAAACCGTCACAGTGGGAACCTTTTGGAGACACCACAAAGGGGACTTTATTGGAAATCCTCACAATAGGAATCTGGTGGAAAGCGCCACAAAGGGAATTTCTATTGGAACGCCCCTCACCAGGGATCCATTGGAAAACGCCCCACAAGGATTCGCTTGGAAATCCGCACAACGGGAATTCATTGGAAAGCACCACGAAGGATTTGTCCTCCACCCACCCCACCCTCCCTCTCAAAAAAAAATGCCCACAGTGCTTTTGTTTTTTTCGGGGGGAGGGGGGACAGCGAGAAAGAACGCAGCAGGAGGAGGAAGAAGAAAGGAGGAGGAGGAGAAGGAGGAAGAGGATGAAGGGAAGGCCGAGAGGTTGGAGGAGCAGAAGGAGAAAGAGGGGGCGACTCCACCCCCAAAAAGGGGGGCGACGCAAGTTGTTGTTGTTGATGGAGGGGTGCAACAAAAAAGCAGTGTTCCTTCTGGGAGGGGGAGAAGGGCGACGAGGAGTTGTGCGAGGATGAGGCGGAGGAGGAGGAAGAGGAAGAGACAGCAGGAGGAGAAAGAGGAGGAAGAGGAGGAAGGACGCGATAACCTTAGGAAAACCATACGAAAACACCATCCGAAAGGCGAGGTCCGCCACAATCCCCCTTTTCTCGAGGAAAAGGGAGGAGAAATACGACGACGACGACGAAGTGGGTGGTGGGGATAGAGAGGGAGGAGGAGGGAGCAGCGGTTCACCAGCAGGAAGCAGGGACCAGGGAGCAGAAGTGCACGGGGAGGCGGCAACAGAAATTTGAAAGAGGAGGAGATGGAGGATGGAGCGGGAAGAGATCAGCCAGGGCACCCTGACGTCTCTTGAGCACACGCCGACCACTTTACCGCTTGATGTTCACGAGCCTGGCCGGCCCGAATGTTGGGGAGAGGGTGATCTGGGCCCTCTGACCCGCAGCAGGAGGCGGATGAGGGGTCCGCCCAGCTCACCCCATCCCGGCAATCCATCCGCCGCAATGACCGCCGGCGCAGCACTGGTCGTCTGCCTCTTCGGACTCCGCGTGACGTGCGCTGGGGCCTTCCGGGTGCTCAAGCCCGAGACCGTTCATTGGCAGGCGTCCGTCGGAGGGGGGGATCTTGGACTACTCGATCGCACCTCCATCGCGGCTCTCTCGCAGCTATTCTTTTGCAGGTCGCGCAAGAGAAGGGGCCAGAGTGAATTGGGTCGCAAGGTCGCCGGTGCATCGGCGATGTGCCGCGATCCAGATCACGATTGTTTCAGTGCCGCCACCACTGGTGCATCACCGATGTATATAGGCGACGCGGTGCGACCCTCTGGCGCCATTCTCCCTCTTCCTCCTCCTCATCTTCCCCCCCCCCGCCTTTCCGCCCCAGAGGCGTCTCGTATCGCCACTCGTTCTTGTGCCGAAGCGAAACCCCTTCCACCTCCCACCATCGTATTCGATTTTTGCACGTACACGCACCCACCCACACACACACACATCCAAATACACACATCCACGTCCTCATCCACATCCATATCCACATCCACACACATCCGCACACACACATATCTATATACATATATACACATACGTACATCCATCCATCCATACATACATGCATACATACATACCGATTTACTTACTTACACATTAATATGCTTATATATATTTGCATACATACATACATACATACATACAGACAGACAGACATACAGACAAACATGCATGCATGCATACATGCATGCATACATACACATACATACATACATACATACATACATACATACATACATACATACATACATAGATACATACATACATACATACATACATACATACATACATACATACATGCATACATACATTCATGTATGCATGCATGCATGCATGCATACATACATACACACATACACACATACACACATACATACATCCATACAGACAGACATACATACATACATATGTACGAACACAAGGATCCACTATGATCTCGAATCGCCCGTCCTCGAGCGTCGTCCGCTGCATGTGCTAGCTCCCCGACGCGGCTGCGCCCCGGCATACACCGCAGGCCTGCAGCCACAACGACCGCCTTCCGCCGCGCCACCCTCACACTCCGAGGCTCTCCCCCGGAGAGGCGCGGCGCTCCGCGCCTCTCCGGGGGAGAGCCTCGGAGTGTGAGGAGGAGAAGCAGAATAATAATAAGAAGAAGAGGAGGAGGAGGAGGAGGAAGAAGAGGAGGAGCAGGCGGTGTGCGACGCCCTCTGGGCGAGGGACCGGGCCCGAGAGAGGGCGGGGGCGCGAGGCACCCCTCTCTG